ACAGAGCTCTCGCTTAAGAATGTCCCAAAGTGAAAGTAATGCTGCCACAGAGTAGATTATGCAAGGAGGGAATATGATTAAATGCATAAATTTTAAGTTCTAATTTTAAACCTTTTAATTTTTAAAAAGGGTTATATTGTTATAAGCTAAAAATTTTTAAAAGTTTACAAATTTTGTGAGTATAGGTTATTGGCATGGCTCCTTCAAATTTATATTTTAAGGAAATAATAATAATGATAACCATTAATCTGAATTGTTCCAAAAAAATATTAAAGATAAAAAAAACTAAATAGATATGTAGCATCTCTTTTAACACTATTTGTTCAAGTAAATCATGTACATAACAGATTCCTCTAAAAGGGAGGAGTGATGCCTATGAACTAAATTAATTGTCCCATGTCTGTTATGAAACACCTAGGCAACGAATCACAATTGGAGGGATTTTTACCGAGATGGTGTCGTTTTATAACTAAACTATTAAAGATTTAATTATAAAATGTAGCTTACGCGATGAAAATCCTTTCACCATTTTGCTAAAGGACCCTTTACTATTGGTAATCTCAATGCCAGTTTTAGAAGATTCTAGAATCCAAATAAATCAAATTACTTGATTTAGAATTTCTGATATACCTTGTAAGAATAAAGACAGTGTCAATTAAGTGGGGAACATAAAAAACTAGCAAAAGAAAAATGTTTAAAAGGCCAGAAGGAGACTTGGCAACGGACAATGGAAGTCAAAAAGGAGAAGAATCAAGAACACCTCGACCACTGGATGGCGCCACGCTAGAAATTTCTTTCCCTTCAAGAAAGGCAAACTGCCATTCACCCTCCCCTCCGCATGTTGACATCATTTGATGATGAATAGTTGAGAAACTGAAATGTTCAGGGGGCCATTTGAGCCAACATCTTCCTAAACCATTGGTTTAGAACATTTTAAACGTCTTGAAAGGGGAAAAAAAAAAGGAAAAACACATTTTTCTTTATCACCCTGTCGACTATGGTTAAGCAGAACCTGAACGCATGTACAAGAAATTGCTAGGAAATAGCTCAAAAATTCGACTAAGCATTCCTTAATCTGTGAAGGGTGAAAATTGAAACATAAAGACGTGGTAAGGGGGATTCACCAAAGAATTTTATGCAATTAAGGTTCCATTTGTTTTGTAAAAAATAACTTTTTAAAAATAATTTTTGAAAAATTTTATATTTTTTGAATTAAAAGAATTTTTTTATTATTTGAATAAGTTAACAAAAAATGTTTTCCATTGTTTGATTATTTTTTGAAAAATTTGTTTTTAATTTCAAATAATATTAATATAATTATTAAAATATTAAAAATTATTTATTATTAAAATACATTAAAACTATTTATTATTAAAATTATTAATATTAAAAAATAATTATATTTTAATAACAATATTTAATATTAAAATATTATATTAATATAAAAATACTTAAAATAAAACTACTTATTATTCTTTATATTATTTATTAATATATTATAATATTATTTATTAATAATACATTATTTATTAATATATTATATTAATAGTATATTATTTATTAATATAATATTATTTATAAGTAAATTTTTGTTCAAAAAATACTGATAAATAATTCTATTCATAGATTTTTTTTTTTTTCCAAAAATATCTTTCTCTTTTAAAATCCGAAAGATAATTTTCAAAAAAGTGATCCCGTTTTCCATTGACCACGAAGTCATTTTTTGTTGTCTAACCAATTTTCCATCAAACAAACATAAAAAAATACGAAAATCATTTTTCGGAAGTTATTGTTCCCGAAACAAACGAAGCCTAAGTAGCAAGAAAGGAGTCTCACCTTGACGATGCCATAAATATGATCAAGTTGCTCCTATCAAACTGAATTCAATATTCTTCACTTCTTTCAAGTTGACATAGATTATGGTGAAATGAGCAATACAAGGGGATATGGATTCCGACCATCGGATATCTACAAGATATAATATGTGATCGTGATTCGCTTGTCCAATATACCACTAACTCGAAGACATCTGCAAGTTTGAGCCTTGGGAATTACCTGGCAAGTACTTGGATCATGTTTAAACCTGTCTGTTAATTGACACAGTATATTCCCATGTGTTTGTGAGAGTGAGTAAACATGTTTCCTAGGGCTTTCAGTGCTGCAGCCAGGTTGTAAGATTTGGTATTTCGTCTACTCATTGAATTACAAGTACCACAATGGTAAACTGATCAACAGAGTCACCAAGGAAGGATGCTGGAAGGCAACAGGCAGGCATCATAAGGTAATGGCTAGTGACACCAAGGCAGAGATCGGCAGGAAGAAGTCTAAGGAAAAAAGCACGAAAAAAAGCAAGACCAAATGCGATAACAATAAAAACAAGACCAAGCATGAAAAAAATAGAGCCAAGACCAAGCATGGAAGCTACAAGAGAAACAAGGCTGTCTGGGTCATGCATAAGTACCAACTCAATACTGCCACTTCCCCTAACCAGGCATGTTCTTATATGCTTCCATATATGCTATAACATTTATTTACTATTTCAAGCTCTTTCATCAGAATTCCTGAAAGTTTGACAACATGGACACTTTCACTGCACAGAGGTACAAAATAATGCTACACCTTTGTTATTTTGCGCAGAAAACATTGTTTCTTGGTAAATTAATGAAACAATCTGAGGAATAAGACTTTTCAAACAACAAAGGCGAATCAAGTCACCGTTGGCCTACTAATTTAAGAAATCAAGTTGAAAAGGAAGCTATGACTCCTGAGGTTAGATGCCTTGTAGGAAATTCTTTTATCACTTTCTATATGATGTTTGTCCCAAACTAATGTCTATTTATCAATCATTCAGAACCAATCGGACTCCAATAAACCATTATCGGAGGTGGAAGTGTCTAATGACTCTGGTGGAGTACAAAATCAGTCTAGCACCATTGAACAAGTTAATGATGCTCAGAATGCTGAGACCTACCCTCAAGAAAGAAGCAAGCAGCATAATTTTGTTTATATGAGTGAAGTCTCCAACCTAACTCGAATTTCGGAAATTATACTGCAGTCAATGCAACTTCAAGAGTAAGATGCCTTAAAGGAAAATTTCTAATCATTTACTAATGGAAGTGTTTAAAAAAAAAAAACCAGAAACAAAGGTTCTTTTTATCTATCATTCAGGACTGGGTAGACACCAGTGTGTTGCTAATAACAGAGCTGGAATCACCAAATGGTAGTGATGGGGTTAAAAATCAATTTAACAACAGTGAAAATGGTAATCCCACCCAGAATTTCAATGTTATCGACAACAACAATACCTACCCTGAAGAAAGAAGCAATTAACAGAACATAGTTGCTGAGAATGAGAGCTCCAACTTCCTAGCTAGTTTCAAAAATGATGATGCAGATAATTTCTACCCAATGGTAAGAGTTGCATGAAACTTGCTGATTATTTATCCATACAGATAACAATAAACAATGGAAACTAACATATGTTTGTCTATGACAGGACCTGTCTGACTATGATCTTTGCCATGTTGATGAGTTATTAACATTGTTAGAAACACCTGATAACCATAATGTTCTTTAAAATCAATCTAGCACCAATGCACAAGATGCTGAGACCAGGAATTCCCTATCCTAAAGAGAGAAGCAAATTATCCACTGAGATTATGCATACCGACTTGCCTCCTTAGGCACAACCAAATCATCCTGCCCGATGGAGTCCAGTAGGAAACGATCACCCATTGAAAATGGGGGATTAAGCAATGACATGGAAATTGAAACAGCACAAGTTGATTAACAGTCGTAAGAGCAATTATTCCATAGAATGAGTTATTTACTATTTACTTAATGTTTTTGTCTCTGTAGTCCTCCAACCTTAAAATATCAGGTTCAAATAGCACCATATGTGAGTTTGTTAATTGATATTTTCTACTGGATGTAATAGTTATGTGTCATATTATGTTAAGGTTTGTCTAAGTTGATCCTACTTGTCCATGTAATCTCATGATCTACAGCTAAACTCTACCATTATGCTTCTTTTACAAAAGAGGCCGCAATTTGGGATTAAAAAAAAAAAAGGCGATTACAAGTGCTAGGATTTGGACACGAGACTCTATAACACTCTACCATTATGTGTCATATTACGAGGTCGCTAACTAACTGAGTTATAAGCTTCGGAAATTTATACTCCTTGATTTGCAGTCTCAGAACAACTTTCTTCCATTCTATATTTTAGTTGAAGAGACTGAAAATACAGAGTCTATAACACACAATACAAAATAGTTAAGAGAAAAAGCCCAAATGTAGGTAACTAACCAGACAAGCTAAGGTAAATTGAAGTAGCCACACCAAAGGCGTACACCCAATCGCGGCCCCAACAACCTCCTTTCCAGACCTCGCCGCCGCTCCAATCCCCACGATACCCAAAATCCCAACCGGCACTCGTTTCAAAACTGCCTCGCCGGCGTTCCCACTATGTCATCGGCGAATAACACCACTGCCCATTCCCTGAACTGGGTCGAGCCGAGGACCAGCTCTTCTTCATCGTTCCGGGGATTATGTTGATGGCCAGTTATGACTCGGAAGGCTGAGTCGACTTGGGAGCGAGTGGGAGGGCAAGGGACCCAGCGTAGAATAAGAGGGTGGGGGTGGAGGGAAGTGAGGGTTTGATGGAGTTGGGTGGAGGCTGTTAAGAGCTGGTAAGGGAGGACTCCGGGGAAGGCTTGTTCAGCTAGGGATAGGCAGTGGGTGTAGGCTGAGTCGCATGCTGAGTTGAACTCGGACGAGTTGGTTAACGTGCCGGTCACTCGCTTTGATGCGGATTGTGAAATCCCCATCTCTCAGTTTCAGTCTGGTTCCTTCTCCGTGATGTTCGGAATATTTGGATAATATGTAAATTTACCTTTATTATTTAATTATTTTATTTTGTTAAAAATATAGAAATTAAGGATAAAATAAAAGTATAATATTAGGAAAATAAAAATATTTTACAAAATATTTTAATTTTTGACATTTTTTATGATTAATTTTTTTACAAATTTTTATATCGTATTTGTATTATATTATTTATCGTATTTTAAATTATCAGATATAGAATTAAGATTTTTAAATTTTTAAAATTTTTTTATTTATATATGAATATGCATATTTATATTAAATAAATTTAAATTGAAATTTTTTTTAATTTAAACTTTTTAAATTAAAAAATAAAATAAAAATAAATATCTATCTATTTATTTTATTTATTAATACAAATTTTTAAATTAATTTGTAACAAATATTAAGTAATAATTCATGTGAATTTTAAAAAATTCAATTTAATTTTATAAATTTTAGCTTCTAAGAAAAATTAAATTTAAAATTTTAATTGAAATATTTTGAGAGTAATATGCATAATGATGTAAAATATCAAAATTTATTTTTTTTTATCGTAATTGAATCTTATTTTGATAGAAATTGAAAAATAAAAATATATTATCTCATTAGATTAATCAAATTTATTGTAATTTATATATATATATATATATAATAACTAGTGAGTTGATCGAATACTTTCAAATAAAACTATGAAATAAGATGAAAAATAAGTTTTTTTTACAGATAATTTGACTGTCAATATAAAAAAAATTAATTCAGATTCAATTGTTAAAAATTTTATTTTTTACAAAAGGATATTGCTCAAAATTTTAAATAAAATTATTTATTTGTTATATTTTTTATTGAATTTATAAATTAATTTAGAATAAAAGTTTATAATATCAATTTTTATATTATTATGAGAATCAATGATAAAATCTTTTTTTTTTTGAATAAATGACAATGTTATTATTTAAAAATAGAAACCTGTTACCAAAAAATTGTACAAACATTAATTAATTATATATCAAGATGAATGAACATCGACTACATATATATATTAAACAAATTATAAATATTCAAGTGTTGATATAATCTTATTTTCTTAATAGCATCAATTTGAATCAAATTATAATCTCTTGAATATAATAAAATACATTTACAGCAGTTCATCTTTTCAATCCATACAACTGGATATTACTCTCAATTCATATAAAATAAATTACCTCGATTTTTTTTTGTCACTCATTTATTTACTTCGATAAAAAAATTTAATTATTTAAAATGATAAATATCTTCTTTGTTGTATCTGTCTTTGTATCATTTTATTGTACTCTATCACGTTTCAAAAGCATCAGTAGAAAATTTTGATGTAAATCAATGACTTTTTAGAACCTATCCACCAAATTTTTATCCTTTTTAGGTTCATAAATCTAGAATTGATACCATATAATCCAGGTTTAAAAGCAAATTTTAAAGTTCATTGTAGGAAAGAACATGGTTTTGGCCGAAAGGGCGAAAACACGTTTCGAACAAATTCTTTCTATATTATTAAGTTGTACATTTGGTCCGATTTGCTGTTTTTCTTGGCCCATCAAGCATCAAAACTAACACTGTCCGAAATTAAGAAAAAAAATCAAAAGTAACAGCCAAAGATGCTAAAAGGACGTGCCATGTTCTCAAAGTCTTCAAAGCCGTCTACTTTGACCCAGATACACCCATCCTTGTCCAAAATGTGGACCAACGAGGGGATAGTGGAATCCAACTTCAGGGCACTTTCCCAGTTTGTGTACATGGCTTATTGGCTGATAGTAGCACCAAAAGTCATTTGCTCGAATTTAAATCTGTATTTAAGTATCCTTTAAATACTGTAGAATCGGTTACATGTCCTGTCTTTTCTTTCAAGCTTGGTGGAAGCTGCGTACAATTCTTCAGAATCAACTTCAAAGATTGCTTCTTCCAGTTTTCCCCGTTTTGCTAGATCTGCTGCAGCCTTAAAGCAAAAGCTTCAGCTCTAAGGACAGAATCCACTTTCTTTACCAGATGCCCCATCGCTACTTAAGACAGTGAGAGGGGGAGGGAGGGACCAGTTCTCTGAAACAGTGTTATATTATCATTCAGTTTGCATTCAATCAAATTTCTAGTATTTGCGTCACAGTGATGGGCTCTTCCGCCTTACAGGCCTTATTAGCCTGCGCTCAAGCTATTCAAGATGGGAATCTGAAGCTGGCCGATTCACACTTAGAGCGGATCTTGAATCTTGCTGCAAAGGAATCCGATGAACAACAAAGCAAAGTGGTGAAATTCTTTGCAGAAGCTCTAGTTCGCCGAGCTTACGGACTCCATCCTACCATTCCTTATAATTTGCAGTTTCTTCCAAGTTGTTTTACTCACCCTATCTGCAATAACATCGACACTGTCGTAACGAGAATGAAGCGATTGCACCTCATTGACTTCAACATCCCACATCTATATGAAGGGGCATACTTGTTTGGGGAACTAGGTAATCTTTTCGCCGATCCCCTGTCAGTCCGTGTAAGTGTCATATTACCACCATTTTTGAAAAAAAGTGTAAATATACAAGAAGAAAAACAGTATGTCCTTTCTTATGCTAAGGTTTGTGGTGTTGAGTTGGAGGATGACTTGAAAGTGGTTTACGCCAATAGCTTGGGTGAAGTGGATGAGTCCATGTTAGATTTTAGAAGATCAGAAGATGAGGCCGTGGTCGTTTTGTATTGTCTTAAACTCCAAATGTTGCTGGCGGATGCAGGAGCAATGGAGAGAGAGTCGTTAAAGTTAAGGCAGATAAACCCAGAGATTGTGATGATAATAGAGCAGGATGCTAATAACAATGACTCCAATTTCATCAAACGGTTGGAAGACTCTTTTCAATATTACTCCGATGCTTTACATGTCGAAGGAGATTCATGCCAGAAAATGGAGAATGATTATAGGCGACAGATAAGAAACATAGTGGGATGTGAAGGCAAGGACCGAATTGTGCGACATGAGACTTTGGCTCAGTGGCGATCCCGCTTGCTCTGGTATGGCTTTCTTCCTGTTCCACTCGAGGGGAAGCCGTGGCTACTTTCCTGTGTATTCCATGAGGAAAATGGGTGTTGGGTTTCAAATAAGGATTACCTGCCAAAGTTTTTCATATCGGCTTGGAAACTCGCACATTGGGAGGACCACTTCAATCTATCCAGCTATAACATTGGCCAAGGTAACGTTCGGATTAAAGATGAAATTTATCATTATTTATGTTGTCGATCAAAATTTGCCATCAATCTTAGAACTAGCCCTGTTGAAAGATCCAACTACTCATTTAAATCCAAAAATACATCCAATGTTTGAGAGCAGTTGAGCAAAAATATAAAACCTGAAACATAGGTTTGGACAAAAAATGTGACTTGTTTAAAAACAATATTGGATTTGACTCCAACATTCAGACTCAATCTGATCTAATTAAATTAGTTTTTTCAATTATATAATATATATTATTTTATATTTATATCATATAAAAATAAATATATATAATATTATAAATTCATATAAAAATATATATATATAATATTACAAATTATGTTAAGTTATTCATGTTTTAAAATTTAATTAAAAAAGAAACGACAATAAAGATTTTCTTTTTCTTTAAAAAAATTAAACGTGAAGTTTATTTTCTATTTTTATTTTCTTTCTCTTTTTTTCATCACTAATATTTATCTAGCATTGTTCTAACGTCAATTGAAGAAAATGTTGTTTGAATCATAAGTCTTTCGTTACTCTATTGTTGTTTGGATTTATGATTATTTTATCTGATGATAACATTTTTATGAATATAGGTTTCAATACATTTTCTACATTAGAGGATATGGTACAACCATTACAGCCTTTACATGAGGTACTATCTTTCTTTTAATTTTAGAATAATATCTTAAATAATCCTTAAATTAAAGTGAAATGTTAAATATGATATTTAAATTTTAAAATTTTATAATATGATATTTAAATTATAAATTTATTAAGTAATGTGTTACTAGAAAGATTGTTTGTCAACTATTACATTAGTTAATTGATTTATAATTTAAGTATCACATTATATATTTTTTAAATTTAACTATTACATTAAATATTTTATTATAATTTAAAGATTATGGATAATATTAACTTTTTAGTTTTCTTTCCCAAGACTCCTAAACATTACCTTACAAGAATTTTAAAAAATAAAAAGAAGATTTATTGAAAGTTTTCTGAATTAAGTGATAAGTAGGTTTTTATCTATTTATTTTATTCAACACTTTTTGGTTGAAAAAGTTTAGATTTTAAAAGGCATTATCAAAGGCATAGAAAAAAATTAAATGTCTATATTTTTGTTGTTCGGCAACTTTTTCATTTTTTTTTATTTTTTATTTTCGCTTTTAGTTTTATGGAAATTGAAAACAATAGGTTGTGTTTGTTTGCTGTTTTTGAAAACTAAAAACAAAATTTTGGAAAGTTTGGAAATTTGTTGAAAACAAAAAAAATGGTGTTTTCAAAATTTTAGAAATATTTTTGGTAGTGTTACAGCATCGGCACTATTCACCTGCTTGGTTACAGTACTGCTACAATTTAAAAATTTTGTTTTTGGCCAAAATCGAACTTCTTCCCTCTTACAATTTAAAATTTTTAATCACTTTCACTTATATGTTTTTATTTTCATATTTCTACCACAAAAATTTCTATTCAAAAATCTTTTCAAATTCAATATATAAAAAATAAAACAAAAAAAATTTGTCAAAAACACAAAAAATAAAACACACAACAATATTAAACGATACATCTGATTCATTGATAATATGTAAAATTTATATATTTATAATATATCAAATATAAATTATATATTAAATTTATCTATGACTTTTAAATTTCAAAATTTTCATGGACCTTTCAAAAATATTTCAAATTTATTTATCCTGTTAATCATCATTAAAATATAATAAAATTTGCTACAAGGTCAAAAAGTGTTAATGTGAGGATGGATTATGCTTTTCTTTTTTCAAGTATTATTTTGGATTTTTTTTAATATAATTCATTATTATCTAATATTTTAATTAACAGGTTTCTTCATTAAATCGGTTAGCTGCTTTTGTCGAGATATATGACATGTTAGAAGATGTATGTTTGAAATACAAACTTTCATTGGCTTTAACATGGGCTTGTGGGACTAATGTGAAGCAAAACCTAGATGGAACTATCTCAGATCCATACAAGAAAGACATTTTATACATTGAAAGTACTTATTCTTATGCGAATAATTTGAATTCTCGATGGTTCATGGAAACATATGCAAAACAAAATCATCTTCTAGAAGGGCAAGCTATTGTTGGAAAAGCACTTCAATCAAATGAGCCCTTCCTTTTTGAATCAAGTATTGTTAAGCCTGAGAAACGTGACTATCAACTTCCTTTTGTTGCACGTGAATTTGGCCCTCATGCTGCTCTTGCAATCTGTCTACAAAACCATTACAATGATGTTTATGTAGTAGAATTCTTCTTGCCTCTATCCAAGGGAAAACTTGAGAAACCAGAATCCGTGGCACTTCATATTTTCAATGACTTGAAAAATAAGAAGAAAATGTTTGTAACACTAAGAGTTCAAGGAACTGAAGTTGGTTTCCAAGAAGAAGCCACTTCAAACATTCCACAGGTGACAATGTCTATGCGAAGCCCTCCACCAGCTTCATCTATCAATGATTTTCTAAACTCAAACATAACAAGGCCTTTGAATACATTTGAACCAAGGGATGGTCATGTTGAACTGGGAGGACAAGGGTTTAATGAGCAGGTACCCATCTTAATTGTATTTACACTATCTTATTCCAAGGTCACAAATGTGCTGCGTTCACGGCAAGTCTAATTACAACAACATTTGTTTTAAGGGGGCAATGGTTTCATGTTCCGACCAAGTGGGTATGGCTACAATAGGCTTTTCATCAGTATCTATCCATGCTTCATCACTAGGTGGAATATGTCCCTTTAATGCTTCCATGCCAGTGGGTTATGATGCAGTACTGGAAACACAAGGGCCTTGGAACAGGTAATATGTTGTTCCTTAATCACTATATTCTATGTGACAAGTGAATTGAGTACTCTTAATTTCTCCATAAGAATGTTGTTTTAAGCATATTAAGGGTCTGTTGGTAGAGTACTGAACTCTTAGATCTAGTGATCAGAGTTCAAATCCTGAAGAACCTAAAGTATTAAAAAAAAAAGAAAAAGAAAAAAGCTTTAAAAGTAGGAAGTTCAATTAGTTGCTCTTCGTCCTCTTCCTCTTTCTCTTAAAAGAAAAAGGGTTATAAGTTGGAGAGATGCGAACATTTGATCAATGTATGCATAACTGTAAATAATTTAGTGGTTGACGCTCAATTGTCCAAAAAGATTGTAATGTGCTTTGAAGTTTTAATTTGTATGCAAATGACTTTGGATTTTAATTGGCCAAGAGTTATCTGACAGCTTTGTTATGTATTGGTAGTTCGATTTAAAGTTTTACACTTAATTTATTTTTAATTTGTCTACTGTTTGAAAGGAAATCAGAGAAAAGAATTGCATTTCTCAGATTATTTCCAATGGTGATAATAAGATTTTGAAAGTAAACAAGGTCTCTGCAATCCCACGAACCAAACAGAGAAGATCTGAAGTTTGGAAAGATTTCATTAAGTACGAAGAAAATGGAAAACAATGGGCCAAATGTAATCATTGTAAGAAGGAGTTTACAGGGTCAAGCAAGAGTGGAACCACACACTTGAAAAATCATTTGGAAAGATGTCCAGTTAAGAAAAGTGAATATCAGGAAAGGCAGTTGAAATTTCCAGCTGAAACAGGTGATTCTGCAACTCAAGATATCAATGAAAGAAACTCAACCTTTGATCAAGAAAGGAGTCGCTTGGATTTGGTAAAAATGATTATTAAGCATCAATTTCCATTGGATATGGCTGAACTAGAATTTTTCAAAAATTTTGCAAAAAATTTGCAGCCAATGTTTGAATTTCAATCGCAAGCAATTATTTTATCTGATATACATCACGTCCATGAGGAAGAGAAGGAGAAACTTCAGCAATATCTTGATCAGATTGCTTGTAACTTCAGTTTGACAATTAGGATGTGGAAGGACAATCCTAGAAAGATTGCATATTGTTGTTTGATAGCACATTTTATTGATGATGGTTGGGAATTAAAGGCGAAGATAATTGCCTTCAAAATTTTGGAGCATAGCTATGACACAGGGGCTTTAATTGGAATTATTCGAAGCTCAATTTCAGAGTGGAATATGAGCAAGAAAGTATGTTCCATAACTGTGGATAATTCTTCTTTGAATGATGATCTAGTTCAACAGATAAAAGAAGCTTGTCTTAGTGACCAAGGCTCACTTCTTTCCAGTCATTGTTTCATCAGTTGCACTCTTATTCAGGATGGATTGCATGAGATAGATGATATAGTTTTGAAGATGAGGAAATCGATTGAATATATTAGTGAAACAGCACATGGAAAACTGAAATTTCAAGAAGCAGTAAATCAAGTGAAGCTACAAGGTGGGAAATCAAGGGATGATCTTCCTTTAAGGCTGGATTCAGACTTTGGCATACTTGATAGTGCTTTGGAATTAAGAGAAATATTTTGTCAGATGGAGCAAATTGATGGCAGTTTCAGAGTAAACCCGTCAATGGAGGAATGGGACAAGGCAATAGCTCTGCACAGTTGTTTGAAAGGTTTTTATGACATTTTAAGTAGTTTTGAAGGAATTCAATCCCTTACTGCAAATTTGTATTTTCCCAAGCTCTGTAACATATACAAGAAATTTCTTCAATTGGAAAAGAGCAGTTATCCATTTGTTTCATTGATGAAGAGGAAATTTGACAACTATTGGAGCTTATGTAATTTGGTTTTCACTGTTACAGTTGTTCTTGACCCGCGATTAAAATTTAAGTTTGTGGAGTTTTCATACCGTGAGATTTATGGTCCTGATAGTAAGATGCAATTGAACAAATTTCACAAAGTTCTTATGGATGTTTACCATGAATATGCCAATGAACCTAGAAATCTGACCACATCTGCATCAGACTTTGGTGATTTTGGCAGTTCAACAGGACAAAGTACACCGATTGCTAATGATTGTATTTTGGACTCCTTTGGTAAATTTGCATCTGCAAGCAACTTTAATGAATTGGCCTCATGGAAGTCAGAACTTGATGCTATTTAGACGAACCTTTTACTTCGCTTGGATAAACATTGTTTGATATACTAGGTTGGTGGCATGTTAATTCTGAAAGATTTCCCTACACTGGAAAGGAATTGGCTTCGTGATCTCCTGCAATTCCTGTGCAATTGTTCCACCATGTTCGGAATCTCAGTGCCGTGATCACAAATCCAGCCCTACAGTAGCTTTGAATCCTGAAAGCCCGGAAGCCTTTGGATGCAGCCCCAGAACTGGTTGGAAATGCCAAAAGGAAGTAGCCCAATTCTTTTCTTTTTTTTTACATCCTCTCATCACTTTATTAGCTAGAGGTTTTTAATCATTTCTACACATTTTTGTTAACCTTTTTATGATTAGTGGTTTTTCACTAAATTTCATTTACTTGTCCAGATAGGAGACAAATCATGTACCAACAAGCAAAATATGGTAGGTACATATGATATAAGCGATCAAAACAATGTTATAACCATGAATTCAGGAAAACAATTTTACTTTTATGCATTTTCATATGATAGGCAAAAAGGAAGATGGAAGAGAAAGAGACTCATGCGTTAAAGAACTTTCAGCGAGAAGGGATGGCACCATTAAAATCATCAGGTATTCCAACAAAACAAGCTACTTGATTTTGGTTTCATTAATGTTCACAATATTATTAAGCAAAGTTAAACCCCATTGAGTACAGAGCCTAATCATGGAAGAAACATTAGTGGCTTAACTGAAATTCCAAATGGTGGTCCATCCTTTGACAATGAGTCAGAATTTCAGTGCTCCTCTTCTGAGTCATAACTTAACAAAACTAAAACACATAATATGTATAATTGATTAATAGTCATATGATCTATTGGTAGAAGATTGGATTGTTGATTTTAGTGGTCATAGATCAAATTCGAACCACTTCAACTACAAAAAAAAAAAAGAAGTGTAATTGACATTTGGCTCAACTATTTTATGATATGTGACACTCTTTCTGCTATTAGACTAATCCTTTTTGTTGTTATGAAGGTTGTTAACACCTTTTTCAAATTGCTTAAGAAGAGATCTGATAGATTTCCAAAGGCATACATCAACCACTTTTCATTTGACTCTCAAATAGCTGTAAGAATTAATTACTTTTATCTTGCAAAGAAATTGAAATTGTTCATATATTTCATACAATGGTGATATATATTCAGTAACATGTTACATATTAATTACACAATTATCAGACTTGATTAAAAGAACCAAATCAGAACATGAAGTACTAGCATGGTTTAAAGATGATCAAAAGCTAACAGGTGTAGAAAAGGCAAGCTTGATGCATATTCGATATATTGTTCAATTTTTTTTTATAGTTTTTAAAAATTTCTTTGTAATAACTAACAATCGATGCATGTATATCGTGATTTTTTGTGATTGCAGTTATTTCTACCATTGTGTTTATCTCAACATTTGATTCTATTCTATGTTGATATCAAGAAGCAGAAATTTTCATGGTTGGATTCGATCACATCTTCACGAATGTTACATGTTGTTGAAAAAGAAGCAATCTTAGGATGGTTCAAAAGATTTCTACTGCCAACGTTAGGCTATAAAAATGCAAACAGATGGCCATTTGAATTGCGTTACGATATTCCTGTGCAAGAGAAGTAAGAACTCCTTCCAAATCTACAGCTCTTCTACCTTTACATTTGCCTATCATCTTACCATTCTTGTTTCTTGCACCTCAACAGCCTGGTTGATTGTGGCCTATTCGTGATGAAGTATGCTGATTGCCTTACGCATGGTGATGTCTTCCCTTTTACACAACAAGACATGCCACACTTTCGACATCGTACCTTTCTTGATATATACAAGGGAAGATTGCATTGCCAAAAGTAAGCAAGAAAGTTAATTGCCTAGAGTTCATCAAAGGAAGTGTTAGAAAAAAATCTGACTCTGAAGGAAAATTATTTTCATCCTATGCTCATTATTATTTTTATATAAATTAACATTGAATATCATGAAGAACAAATTATAAACAACTCAATTACCATTTATTTTTATTTTCTTTCTCTAGCTAGCAAAGATGTGGCATTAAAACACAGTTACTGATAAAATGACATTTCTACTTAGTTACTCAAGAATAACCCATAGGCATCCGTCATTGATGTTTACTTGGAGTAAAAAACAGGTATTATTCTTGTCGCGTACAAAGAACCTGTTCGAGAAGATAGACTATCATCTATATGATATACTTGAATAGTTTGATACTAGAAAATGTCCAATTATCTCTCTTCTTGCCATGGTTTGATCCTATGATAACCTTTAATATCGGAACCTCGTTTCAAGTAAGCAGTAAAATATAACGAATCCCTTATTCCTGCACTAGTGTCCTGCGTTTTCAACCCCTAGAAGTTAACCTGACATACAAAAGAAGAAACAGCTTAAAAGGGGACCGACTGTATCCTGCTATTTTGAGAAGAAATAGGTTAAATAGAGGCTAATTGTTTCAGATTCCAAGTATACATGTTTGAAATCAGAAAGTTCATGTAAAAGAGACCTAATGGTTTAATCTTTGGTTATGATCTTACTTTATTATACAAAGAAAATCGTAACTTAAGATAAAAAAAAGAATTATAAATGTTAAAATTTGAATTCTAAAACTATGAATTCTACCTCTTAAAGGTAACTGCAAAAACTAACTAAATTAAACTTAAGGTCTGGTTATGGTTTCACTCTTTGTTACTTCATTTATCCTCTCTTCCATATTTTGAAACAATATAGATTTTAATGGCCTTCTCCTTTCATTCTCCACTTTCAGCTTTCACGCCGACAGTCACTTCAGCTTTTGGCCTTTAGGATTCAGTTTCAGTACTCAGTATGTCATTCTCAAGATTGTTACCTGGTTGACTAAGATTAACTCATATGGCACAAGAATAACAATGCCAAGATTCTTTCATCAAACATTAAGTAACAACTGGGATCTCAAATAAGATCTCTGGGTAGGATACCATTTCTAAAAAATGTGTGATCAAAATAAAAAAAAAAAAAATCAAACACCACTCTCTCTCAGCTCTGTTAATGGAAATCAAAATTTGTTATACAAGGAAAATATTCTTTCTTATGCTCAAGGAAGATGACAAAAGGAATGCTAGCTTGGTATTACAAATATGTGAAATAACATGCTACAATACAAGAAGAAACATTTCTTAGCCTCTACTTGAAAAGAAAAACATGCACATTGCTCTTTGAACCACTTTGATCAACAAACAAATAGAAGTTAAGGGGAGAAAAAGAGAACTGGTCAATATATAGTAAACATTAAATTTCTGTTTAGCTAGCTAAGTGGCTGGGAGAGCTGTTAAACATACTGTGCCACGTATGCCCTGGAAAGTACCATTTCAAGCTCTTGATATGTCCAGTTGTGAGTTGGAAGGTGTTGAAGGAACATCACCAACTCTTGGAAATTAAGCTTCCGAAGTTTATCCGACCACTGAGGATATAGACAAACCATTTATCCGTTTAGCTTAGCAAGATTCATCAGGATTATGAACAATCATAAAGGACAAAATTATTTCCAGAGGCATCCAATATCGAAGCATCATTAATTATGGGACAAAAAGAATTGCAGTTGAATGTTTACAAATCACAGCAGTAAAGATCATCAGCGGGGTCTGTAAGGAATCAGATAAATTTTCTAAAGTATTATTGGAAAATAATGGAGATGATGAAAAGAAAATTTAAAGGAAAGAATAAAGAGAAGCAAAAAGGAGGTGGATGTTCCTTAGGAATCATGCAGAAGTGAAGTTTAAAGTAGGACATTACGCAAAACAGAAACGATATAACAGGCTGTTGCAGCAATGCAGGAAAACAAGCATCATTCTATTTAAATATAGTAAATCTGAGAGAACACAAGCTCTTATACCTATGAAGTAAGCAGTAAGAGATGCTCACTTTAAGTTTGGATGTCATCCATCCAACAGCTTCACCCATGGTAATAATTATGTTTTTTTTGGTGTAAAAAGGTTTAGGGTGAGGGGAGGCTTCCCCTTTCAGGGCCAAAACAGACTGCAAGCCTCATAGAGGACTTACATTACATTTACAGATCACCCACCAAAAAGGACTGCTGGTAGTGGGATTAAAAACTGTGCTTTTCAAGTGAAATATTTGAACCTTACCAACTCAACCAACCCATTGGCGTAATAATTAATGTTTTAGACCAAAGAAATAGTCATAAGAAAAAGAAGCAAGAAAAAAACACACACAGACACGCATCTTTTTATTTGAAGAATTATCATAGCTGTATCTCCTTAAGGTTGCAGTCATAGATGAATGCTTGTAAATTACATCAGCACAAAGGAAGTTAAAGAACTTCTCACCGTTAAAAGAAAACTGGCAAATATGTACACAAGGAAATCAGGCAATGCATCTCCTTCAGCAAGATAGGTGTCCCATAGCCGGGATACCAGATGGAAAGGGATCTGTTAAACATATAAAAAAAAGAATAAACAAATAAATCTAATAGAGCCACAGGAAAAATTGAAAGTAGGACCAGTTTGTCAATCAGACAAAATTTGAAAGGCAGGATAATTAAACAAATGCATGTGATAGTGGGATTAAACCTTACCTCACGCATCAGCAGACAGTTAAGCCAGCGAAAAGCAAATTGAAGAAATTCAAGTCCCTGGTCCTCCATATGTCTAGAAACTGGTTCTGGTACAAGTTAACAGAAGAGTTAATAAGACAAAGAGATGAAATTAGAACATATAAAAAATAAACAAAGCTTTAAGTGAATAAAGAAAATCAAGTGCACATTATATACAGGGGCATGCTTACACATTGTCCACAAAGACAGACACATGCAAACCTCTTTCTTTTCTCTGTAACCTTAAAAATAAAATGCTTGTGGATACACATATACACACAAAAATCATTCCTTTTTTCTATAACATTAAGATGGTTGTGTCTGCATATGCATGCACAACCTCTTGCTTTCTTTAGAACCATTACAAGAAAAATTCTGCACAATCAATGAAGGCTTAATTCCC